AGTTATCCAAAAAGATGTGAATCTTATAGTTGTATATAATTCTCCAATCTACATAAAGATAAAACCCTCTATTTCGAAGCCATAAACTTTTGAATTGTTTTATGAGCTTTTTTGATATTTTTTGTTCTGGCATTTCCTGTAGGGAATCAATTGATAAGCATTTTTGCTTGCATGCAGTCTCTCATCTCATGGCAAAGTTTTTTAAATTGTTTGGAGCTTTCAATAAAAAAAATACGATACTAAAATTGTGATTATAAAGCATTATTATATCTTTTTGGTGAGGTTTTATGCGAAGAACCCATCAATACCCTCGTTGATCAAAAATACTTTTTCCAGATTGTAATTGTCGCGTCTGGACAAGAATTTAGAATTGCTGTCAAAATCTAGAAACAAGCGGATTTATAACCTGGATATCAGTTGAAAAAAGTCAAAAACTAGTCGTTGTTCAATATGGTAATGAGAAGCGAGTCAGGACAAAAAAATGATGCCATCTGGAAGATAGTCAAGATCTCAAGCAAAAATTTCACGGGTGTGGTGGATGTGAATTGTCTACCAAATAATAGAAGGAAAATGAATAATTCTCAATTAACATTGATCATTGTCTAGGTAAAATCTCTACAGAGTCAGATGCCTGTTAATAGTGTGATTTTTAAAGTCTGCTTAATCGCTGCAAAAAATAACACTCTCTCGACTATATATAATTGCTCAGTCATTCTATTGATATTTCTATATACTCAATTACCGAACTACTATGAGCGTTAATTTACCTGATGTGTGTTTATTACTATGTGTTTATTATGAGTGAATAGATTGTTAATTTTTGCACCTATTCCAGTTCAAAAAGTAACACTCTCTTGACAATATAGTTGCTCATTTATTCTATTGATACTTCTATGTACCTATTTTTCTGACTATTTTAATTCAACTTTTGAATAAGTCAGTGTAAGTCAAAGTTTTTAAGAGATGCCACTTGGCGCAGCCAGCAAACTTTTCATTAGTGAAACCGACGGAACTGTTTCTTTTTTATGAAGAAAACCGACATCTTACCCCCCATATCCTTGTGAGATATGGGAAGGACAAATTTTCTTAGCCGTAACCCTCAATGAGAAATGTGACCCCAATATTCTTCTTCAAACCTAGCTTCGATATTCAACGACGCACTGAAGCAAGAACATCTGATGTCCATCCAAGCCAACACAACTTGCAGAACCGAATGAACAGAGCACTAGAGAAGGGAAACTTTAACCCAAAATCTCAATCAGGTCAACAATCTTGCAATCAAGCTCTGCCATGTTACTTCTGCTAAAAAGTTTCATACCAGAGCATAAACCGAAAAGCACCACCATAGAAGACAAATGTCGAGGATGTGAGGGAAGAGGACACTTCACCGAGTTTTAAAATAGCACACAGTTAGCCAAAGTTAAACAGCGAAAACCGAAGTTCATTCTGACCCAAAAATCTCAGAATCTTCACAGCAGACGGAAACAGTAAAAATCTCGATGTAATAAGCCAGAGTTAAAAAGAAATGTCTCAAGGGTACATTGATATTTGAGAGAATCACTGCTAAGCGCTACTATCGACACAAGAAGTCCTGCATTTTTTGTTAACATACAAACGGCCAAATTACTATTAGCAAAATATCTCAATGCAAGCATCTGATCTCTAAACCAGAGCCTAACTATAACTGCATATGTCGACTACAACCATGCCATAATTCATTTAATTTATATATGGGACATTATAAGTAGAGGTATTTATTTATTCAAACGTTGGCGAATCAAAGTCGAAAAAATCTTGATTTCAGAAAACAAGACCAGATGCTTGTTATGATAAGATCTACGACCAGATCTAGTTGTACCAGTGCCCAGAGATAGTTAGTTCAACACAGAACACATCAGATTCAGAAATCACCATATCACCATCGCGTTAATCCCAATCAAGGAGATCAACAAAGATGATTGATCGATCAAAGCTGATAACGACTAGCAATTTGCTTGAGGGAACCGTCATGTTAGAACTTCACATGACGCATGCAGGGTAAGAGCCGATTTTTATGACGCCGCTTATTATGGTCACCAAAGATGCACAGAGATATCATCGATGTCTGCCACTTCTGCAAATCATTCTCAGCGTATGATTGAACCTTACAAAAACCACCGATTCAATTTTTTCTTCAGAACCGTTGTTGACAGATCTATCCAGATCAAACGAAGAATTTCAAATGGATTTCGCAGGAAGTTTTATTGCTTCAACAGGAAGAAACTCTTTGCTTAATTGCAATAGTTTTTTTTCTCATCAGCTTTAAAATACATCAAATACTTTTTTCTCATCAGCTTAAAGTACCCATCAGTTACAAAAAGCTGAAAGTTAAGGAGTAAGAAATTACTTCCATTTTTGAATGGTTATTTTTGCTGAAATACTATTCCAAAGAGCTTGAGAATTGATCAATGTTCATATTTAAAAGTTCAATATTAGCCGATTTTCTCAAAAAAGATCATTAAAATTTTCTGCTCACCAGAGGACAGAAACAAATCAATGATGAAATTCGTTTCAGAAGATAATCGTAAAAGGCGACACGCTTTTAAAAGAAAACTCCATTCAAACTTGACTAAGGTCGGAAACCCAGTGCTCAAGATACGACCAAATACAACAGAAAACAATGAAGCTGTACGCAACATTTACGAAAATCAAGGAGAGGGACTCTCCAAATTTGGTAGTCAGATATACACTCTCGCCGATGGTACTTTGCAACATTCCCAGCGGTGAGTTCATCGATCTTATAATATCTTCAAGCTGTTTGCCAGTAAATGTTTGCATTATCAAGAGTGTATTCAGAGCCACAAAGTAGGGAACCGCCACAATCAGCGAGTCTTCAATATAGTCAGTGCCCTAAGAAGCAGGGAACAAAGAAGGAAACAGCCACGCGGCAACAAAAACTGTTTTCAAATTTGTCAGTGCCAAAAGAAGAAGGTAGCAGAGCTTCGCTAGCAAAGATAGTACAAATAAAAGCAACCAACTCGAAGAAAAAGATCAGTATAAAGATACTTAAGAAACGACAAGAATCTCTGGATGAGAACACCGATTCAATTAAGAACTTAGACAAAAAGGCGAATACTTTCAGTAGTGGAAACTCAAAAGGAAGGACGAAGAGACAAACAAGTCTCCCGGGTTGACCAAAAATGCTTATCAAACAATTCTCATGAATAAGAAATTTATTTTCGTGCAATTCCATACAATTCCTTACGTACAGACTATGATAAACATTTCCCATAATGGAAATTGTATCATAGGTGTTTTCTCCAAAGTTGTTTTTGTTGCTGAATTTATTTTCTGGCAAATTTTTGGTTGTGTTTTCAACTGAACAAGAGTGACAGCGACCTTGGTTACTCAAAGCACCAAAGGTTGGACGGTCTTGCATTAACCATGCATAGAAAACGACCTGAATTGTCTTCGAGCTGTCTTTTATAAATGATATAACAAAAGTAACAAACTTTTATTTCTTGGCGAAATTTTTTAAATTTTTGAATTTTCAAATTATCAGACCTTGATCCAGGCATACATAAACACGTCATACAAAAGAAATAGGAATTTTCAGCGGCGTTTTTGAAAAAAAAAATGAGTGAAAAGAAAAAAAGCCAATATTATCGTATCCAGGTGTACGTTATAGTTATGCACACAACAAATTAAATTTTGCATGCAAAAAAAATTTTTTTCGAAAATTGTTTGTTTGCGTACAAAACTCGGCGCAAACAAACAAATTTTTTTTGTCACCAGTCTGTTCAATTGTTCTCAAAAAGCCGCAGAAATGGTTTATTTTTTTTCTATTGTTTTTCGAAAATGTTGGAAAATTGTATGACAAAGCATTTTCTTCATACACTTGATGTATGGAATTGTATGATAATGATTTTTGTTGCGTGGAAACGTATTATAAAAATTTTCGGTGTATGGAGGTCAACCCGGGCTAGTAGGGAAGATGCCAACTACTCATAAGCTTTGAGCGCATCGGAAAATTCCCTGGGAAAAAAAGAAAGAGACCCGGTTTTTGGTGGTCCTTTTTCTGTGAAAAATGTGGAAGACAAGATGCTACATACAGTACCATTTTCGCCCGGGGTCATTGCAACTGCTTCTGAATCCACGTCAAGAACATCACCACGCAGAAAAACGAAGGTGCCTAAATTCGCAGCTTTAAAGCCAGAAAAATTTCAAGGGAAAAAAATGTTAGAAAATTTTTCAATATTTCTTAACTTTTTTATTAAAAATTTTATAAATACTAACTATGTATGAATTTTTCCTTGAGAGGGATACGTTGAAAAGGTGAACTGTGTTATCAAATAGTTGAAACTTGATATTGAAAGTTATTTTAACATTAACATTAATCATTGTGTAAGTGTAACCTCTATGAAGTTAAACCCCTGCCAATCGTGTATATGTCAACGTAATCGGAGCAAAACCAATCACTCTCTCTTCATAGCGATTGAATTGTTATAGCTGTTCATTTGTTAGCTTGATATTGTACGGTACTGTTTACTTCACTATTAAAATTCAATCAAGGTTTTAGGAGATATCACAACAATGAACAAAACTTTTTTTCATATTCGGTGATATTCGTGCATATAAAGTGAGTTTAAAATTTTAATTCGCTCGTCATGTTAAACAATTCAATCACAACAATTGAATTGAAACAATTGAATACGATACAAATCTCGGGAAATGCAAAAAAAAACTTCCCGTAAAGTTAAACTATGAAAATGTGTTCTGTACTTTTTCTCTTTTTGATTTCAATCTCATATAACGCGTAATCCGAACATAAATTTAATCACAATTTTGGTCCCGGTCATTATATCAATGTTTCAACTTTTTCACCTGGAAATTGCCTCAAAACAACTACTCCACTTACATTAGGGCGAACTATCTTTTTTTATGTCATGTCACTTACGGTTACTAAAATAAAAGCATCGAGTCCTTCTCTTTACAAACTGACTCACAATGAGTATTCTCACCACTTGTCTTGTTGAATTGAATTTGGCTGCCTTGTACTGGCTGAAATCACTCTGATAGTCCTCATTCTGACTTTGTTCTGAGCCGTACGAAACGTCTGGAGCATCCGTCAAATCTGCATCGTTTTCGCTTTCGCTCAACACATCCCCCTGCTCCAGATGTTTCTCAGTTTCCTCGTCGTATTTGCTTCGCTTGGAGCAGTTTGGACCATCTTGCTGCACAGAAACAAATTTAAATGAAATCGAGTATTTTAAAACAACGCTAATTTTTTTTATTTAACTTTTAAAAGAAAAACTGAATAAGAAATCGATTATGTATATATCCGTTGTTTTGAAAATTGTGAAAAGAAAACAAAAGAAAAAGTGTTTACGTACCTTATTGTTCATGACGCCGGATTTTGTTTTGTTGATTTTTTCTTAGCTTTTTGCAGGTGAACGTCAGATTTTTTTGTAGCACACTATAGTGGGAATGCGTTTGCGCTTTTTTATAGTATGTTGTTAAATGCAATAGTGAAACGATTGCTTTTTACTGGGACTGCGTACGAGCAAAATTAAACCAGTTATACTGTGTAAAACGAACATTTCTTGCTACATGACGCATAAGAGCAGCATAAAGAATCTTGCAAACTCAAATTTAAAGAGAAATTTTTTCTAATAGTATAGATTTGAACATGCATTAGCCAATTTTTATTGTATTATTTATTCAATAGACAAATCTTACTGTATGAAACATCCGCGTTAAAAGAAAAAAGAAAACGGTTTTTGCTACATGAGTCATACAAAAAGGATATAAAATCATAGAAAAAGGAAATTGGAATAGGAAGAAACTAACTTTTTAGTGAAAAAGTTTGTTTGAACATGCAAAAGGCAGTTTTCCTCTTTTTTTGTTCAAAAGACAAGCTTTACTGTTTAAAACAGCAGCAATAAAAACGAATGGTTTTTGCTACATGAGTCATAAAAACAGGATATGAAATCTGTGATGTTAAAAATTAAAGAGTAGTTTTATTGATATTATACATTCGAACATGCAATAGTCGGTTTTTCATGGTCCAACTTTTGAAATAATTGTTGGAATGTCTAGTCTTGGTATGGTTCTTTTCATCCTGTCAAGATTCAACTTTTCAGCTAGCAATTTTCACGGATTTATATATAATTGGGAAAGTTTTCATAAACTTCAAAAAACTCGAAACGCGAGATGAACAATAAATATTTTTTATGAATGAAAAATTACCAAAGTACGAAGCAGAAATCAAAGCCTTGGCCAAAAACAAGGGTTCATAATGTCACCAAAAAACGTTCTGTATCTATTCTTGTCACGAAGAGCATCAATACCTTTGGATTTGTTGCAGTGATTATAATTGCTGAGTTATTGAATGAACGCAACCTAATAAAAATAGATGTGAGCATGAAACAAAAGACCGAGATGGGCTCCACATCTTCAGAGAAAGCGTACATATCAACTGAAGCATATCAACTAAAACAACAAAACTGCTGTGGGAAAAGGAGAAAAGTCTCATGAAAGATTGAAATCCTTAAAAAGTGAAAACAATTTCAAGAGCAATAATTTAGGAGTATATGCTACAAGCAAAAATTTTGTGTTGTTTGAACCGACTATAATTGTTAAGATTTCAAGTAAAAAAAATTTTTTCTTTGAAAACCTGTTTTTGATTCGAAAATTAGAACCACTAACATAGTCTCTGCAGTCTGAGTTTTTCTAGCCCATTTCAATACATTTAAGCTTTTTTTGTCGATTACTTTTAGCGCTAAGAGTGATGTCCCTCCCGAGCTTCAGACAGAAAACACATAAGTGACAAATTTGCGAGAGTTAGCACTAGTTCAAAAAAAGGAAAACCTCCATGCATTGGGTAACCTTGCGATATTCAAAAGTTGGCTCAGCTAAACAGTTATTCAGCAAAATCGTTTATTTTTTGTATGAAAAACAAAAGTGTTTGTGTACCTTGAGATAGTCGTGGGGTGGCTCAAATAAACCATATTTGTAAATTTTTAAAGAAAATATTCTAAATTTTGCAACATAATTAAATAAAAGAAAAAGTGAGATGAATGTTTGTATACTAATGAAATGTACATGAGTATCTTGAAATATCAGCAGGGTATCTCAAATTGAATAGATTTTCACTTCATTGGAAAAAAAATGAATACGCTGATGTTAAAACTAAAAAAAATCTGAAAAGAATATGACACCTGTTTAAAAATTGCAAATGGTTTCTCTGCGATATCCGCGGAGCAAATTTAAAAACAGGAGTTCATAGCCCTTGATCTCCTTCACTCGTTGTATTGCTTGACAAAAAAGTCTTCAAAGTCCACCGATAAAAAGAAACATAGAACCATAGAGAAATCAACATTTTAAAAGGTTAATTCGATTTCAATAGAGGGTTATTAAGCCTCATGTGTTATGGATTTTAAGTTTTCACAAACTTATTAGGTTTTAGCAAAACAACTTAGGAAATCACAGGCGTGTCTTTTCACTAAAATTGATTGGAAATTTAATGGTTCTGCAAATAGTTAGATCACTGAAGGAAAACATCAACCAGCTGCAGCTTTAGGGGGGTAGGTTAGCTTGTTCATAACTTTTACCGCGTTAGCAGTTTCATCTCAGACCAGTATCAATTTTTGACTATCAAAAGTTTAAAAAAACTGATTTTTGAGATGGTATTTTTTAGCCATAACGTGAAACTGATTGGCTCAATGAAGAGCTTGACAAAATCTTGCATGGAATTGATAAAGCACGCAATGATAAAAATGTTTTTTTTTTGGATTCTTCAATATAGACCATTCATAACTTCAAACTAAAAATTCATGCAAATATTGTCTCAGAGCTTTAATTTCAAAATTTTCAAAGCAGTTCAGTATCAACTTGCCAAATGTCAAATTGCAAGATGTGGTGTACTCAAGTTTGCTACAGTTGTTAATGAGTAAGATACAATAATAACAGACCGTTCAACAGTAATCAAGTACCTGGAACAATCAAAAAAGAATCTCTCGAAGAAATTGTCCAAGCAGAAGCAAAAAAGAGTTCTGGCCTTAGAAAACTGGAGTAATTGAGAGGAAAAACTTAAAATTCTTTATTAATTACAAAAGAACGACGATGAAATTACAAACTTAGATTGGAAGTAGTCCTTTCAATTTTTTCATCGGATGATTGCAACTAACTTAAACCATTTCAATCCAGCTGAAAGTAGAGAAAAGCAAAACCAAAAACCTGAATACCTTATGAAATAAAAGAAAGGCTAGCGCAAAAAGGAGAAGACCATAGAAACTACACTAGCTCAGTAACTGACAACCATAAAGCGAAAAATGCAAAAACTAGAAATGCATTACAGAGCCTGATAGTCAAGAAACGCAAAAAACAGTTGCCAAAACAAATTTTTAAATGACGCAAAACAAAACACGGGATTTATTTAAAAGACTTTTGAAGAGTTATCAGGTAAAGGCAAAAAATCTGGTTCTCTAAGACAAGAAAAAAAATTTTAATCAGTTTTGCAACTAATGGGAATCATCTCGAATTACTCATCATAATAGATCTCCATAAAATTTTGTCTGATATAGACAGGTAAAAAAAGCAAAAGCAAAAAAAATTTTCAGGACAAAAAGTTTTTCAGGACTGTCTTTAGTTAGTCTTCGTAATACCGATTGATACAAGTGGAACAGAGAAAGATCCAGATAACTATAGAACAAAATCTACTTTTTCTCAGAACAATTTTGATTTCTTTGATGAACATGGTGTACATACTAAATGGTCAACAATAGATACTTTGGTAAAATTCATAGAAGACATCAGAAACGATTGGAACCGAACCCCAAATTAACACATGCATCTTTCATAAATCTCAAAATGCTGTTGAAAAGCTGAAAAATGCGGTCTACGAAAAGCTGAAAACTGCGGAATACATGGTTCCCTTCAGGCATTGTTGCAATCATTTTCGACCAAAACATTACAAGTAGTCAGAAGAGGCTCTAAAATAAAATATAAAATATTTACTGTGGAGTTTCAAAAGGGGTCAGTACTTGGACCACTATGTTTCTATTTAATGATAAAATTTTTACCAACGATTTTAAACTCTAGTATGCTAAAACAATTATATGCTGATGATACAGCAGAGAAGTAAAATGATCAGAATTTACATCAAAAAAAGTAAGTTGTATCAAAAATAGGAAATTGGTTGAAAATTAATAAGCTAATTCTGAACCTTGACAAAACAAATGACATACATTTCAACGGAAAAGATTCATAGGAGTAGATGAAACAAAAGTGTGACCCGATGATATTAAAGAAGGTCTCTATACTAAAACTTGAAGCAATTACTTAGACTCATTCTAGGTTCCGAGTTCATACTGATTTCCTTGTCAACAAACGAATTTTTTTCAATATTTCAAGGGTTGCTCTACAGGTTACATGACGTACTAACAACAGCTCAACTAATCGAAACCTAACTCAGTCATGCTCAGCCAAAATTGCAATATGTGGTTATAGTGTACAGTAAAACTCTCAAAACATCACTGCAAAAACTTGAAAAGAAAAAAAATCAAACTCTGAAAGTATTTTCGAGAACTGAGATAACAGTCAGTAACATATTCTGAAAAAATCTACGAGATACGCTCAGAAAAACAATTGCACACATATGAGCTATTTCAAAGTTTAGTTCACTTTTTACGTAATTAACTGAAAACTGACTTCCTAATAAACTCAATTTTGGACTTAGATTAACGTACTGAATGGGAAAGAATCAAAAAACTAAACCAACTCATAAACTTACTAGTAAACATCCTTAAAAAAAGTGTATGGATTGGATGTTGTTTGAATTTATTCAAAGATTTTTCGCAGACTTTGCTGATACAATCAGCACTCTTAATCACAGCCAATTGAAACTTTTTCTATAAATTTCCCAATTTAAGCATCACAAATAATGAACAAATGATAGCTCTTTTTATCGAAAAGTGGGTTGTAGGGCTTGGACAACAAAATGTAACCTATACTTGAAATTTCATAGTAACCAGGGGATTATGAAATTCTTTTGCCTACTTAAATCATCACTTGACTAGGTCTACAGGGTCTTTTGATGTATGTCCTTGCATATCAGAATTATGTAAAGTGACAAATGTCTCTATTGAATATTCTCCGATATGTAAACAAGTTACTATTAATAATTTGGACCTCAACTTTTTTATCGTCTTTTATCGACCGATATTTTTTTGTCGAACAATGCAACTTCATTACGAGGCCAATCTGTGCATTCTGTGCGTTGTAAACTGATTACGCACAATGCCAAAACCAGATTTGTCGCAGAATCCGCAACAATGTCAAAATTATTTGATCTTTTTTAATGTTTTGGATTCAACAAACAAATAAATAAAACAATGAACCTCTCAAAATCATTCCAAAAATAGGCGAATTTGCGGAATCAGCAATTTTATTTGCGGAATCCAAAACAATTTATGGAATCTACAATCAAATGATAAGACCTGTGTATAGTTACATTAAGCTGTTGCGGAATCCGCAACTGTAAGTGGAATCCGCAAATTTTAGGTGGAATCCGCAAGTTTTAAGTGGAATTCGCATTTTGTTTGCAGATTCCACTTAAGTTTGCGAAATCTGCTTACATTTTGCAGATTCCTTTAAAATTTTGCGGTATCCACCTACAGTTGCG